CCCCAAAACCCCAAAACCCCAAAACCCCAAAACCCCGTGATTATTAAAATATATTGAATTTACTTCAAACCAAAAAATGAACACCAAGAAGTTTCTTCTCCTGATTACTGTGAGCTTTATGTGCTCAGTAAACTACATGATTTTGGTTCCCTTTATCCCTATCGAATTCGGGAAATTTAAACTTAAGCCCTCAACATACGGGTATATTTATTCATGTTTTCCTCTGACGAGCATGCTTCTATCCTTTTTCGTAGCGAGATTCATGGATTATTTTGGAAGAAAACAGGTATTAATTGGTAAGACTTCAAAGACTAATCAAATATAGGAGGTATTTCATGAATGACGCTCTCAATGATATCTTTCTCACTTTCTCATTATATCACTAATGCTTCAATTATTGCTCTAGTCTTGTGTGTAATAAGAGTCCTGCAGGGCATATCAGGATGCCTTGTTACAACTTCAGTATTTGCCATTGTTTGTGCTGTATATAGTGAAAATAAGACCAAGTTCATAGGATTTGCACAATCTGCCAAAGGAGCAGGATGCTCTATTGGCCCCTTTATAGGTACACTTCTTTACACACTTTTCGGATTCCAAGGGACATACTTTATCATGACTGGAATTTTCGGGTCATTGCTGATTCTCTGAAGTGTGTTCATTGATGACTCAGTTAACATCACTGATACTACTGCTGGCGACCAAGCTGTGTTGAGAGCTCATGATGCTGAAAAAGAGGTAATCCACCTGGTAACATATAGGGTCAAAGCCAAAAAGGAGAAACTCCAATTGATGGAGTATCATATTGAGTGTTATTTACAAGGAGAGTATATTTACTGACAGCAATAGCTTCCATCATGTCAAATGTGAATTTTTGATATTATGAACCAGTTATGACAGACAGGCTTCAAGGATTTGGCCTCAATAATTTTTGGATAGGCTTCATGTTTTCTTTGGCTCCTTTCAGTTATTTTTTAACTCTTCTTCTCTTTTCAATGTTTCTGAAGAAAAGTTTTAAGGTTGTTCATGTGTTTATTGGAGTGATTATCTCAGCCTTTTCGTTGATTTTGATTGGACCAGGGATGTTCTTACCAGATAATTTGGTACTAATGAGTATTGGGCTTTTATGGATGGGTGCATCAAGTGTTTTATTTATCCTCCCAATCTTGCCTATCTTAACAGAAGACGGAGTTTCAAGATATCCTCAACATAAATACAAGGTTAGTGATATTTCTTCAGTTGTGTTAAGTTTTTGATTGAGCCTAGGACAAACAATTGGGCCGATATATGGAAGCTATGCTACTGAATATCTTGGATTCAGAAACTGTTCAAGTTGATTAGGAGTATTTGTATTCTGATTTGCTCTTACATATTATTTTGGCTGTGTTTTCCCTGTTAAAAATAGATATTTTGAATAAAAATTTTGAAAGAGCTAAAATGAAATTAGAAACAATAAATACATTTCAACTTATTGTTTGAATGCTGGGGTTTTGGGGTTTTGGGGTTTTGGGGTTTTGGGG